AAATGTATCTTAGGAAAATGGCTCACAAACATATAGAAGCCAGCAAGTCCAAAGTCCTTGGAGCAAACATCAGGTTGGAGGCTTTTCCTAGCTTCCACAACCGCAGGGGCTGAGAAGCTCAAGGATGGCAGGCAGTACACCGGCTGTTGACTCTAACGAATGATGAAGCCAAGACCTCCAGGCCGAATGGTGATGGTGGACTGCTCACTCACGGAGAGTTGTAGGCAGCGCAACAGAATCCCGATCCACAGAAGACTGTCTCTCTTCCAAGGATGGCCCTGGATATCCTGGAAGCAGGCCACACCCCTAGGGAAACTCCCCTTGAACAAACTGGCCACTCAGAACGCAGTCATCTGATCCCATCATGGGAACAACCACACAGAACTGGGGTCCAGCCAAGTTGACACACAGCTCCAACTATCACAGAAACCTTCTGTTCAGCTTTTTAATTTCATCATTTCTTCCATTGCTGTAGCTGCTCTCCACTAATGAGCAAGTTTCAGAGTCTCTTCTGACAATAATTTTGGTCTTTTCCTCCTTTGCTATTCTCCCCCATCCCCCAAAGATCTTTTGTTTTCTTCATGTATGAGGTTCTTAATGCCATTCCACTTCTCTGGTCTTCAGTCATTGGTGTTCAATACATCAAATCTAATCTTCAGATGGTCTCTGAATTTAGGTAGGGTATAAACAAGGTCATATTTTGGCTTTCATGAATTTGTTTTAATTTTCTTGAGTTTCAACTTGAACTTGCATATGAGTGATTGATGGTCTGTTCCACAGTCAGCTCCTGGCTTTGTTCTGATTGATGATAGTGACCTTTTCCATTGCCTCCTTCCACAGATGCAGTTGATTTGATTCTTGTGTTTCCTGTCTGGTGATATCCATAGGTATAGTTCCCATTTATGTTGTTGAAAAAAGGTATTTGCAATGAATAAGTCGTTGGTATTGTAAAATTTTATCATGTGGTCTCCAGCACCATTTTTATCACCAAAGCCATATTTTCCAACCACAGATGCTTTTTTGTTTCCAACTTTTGCATTCCAAATCACCAGTAATTATCAATACATCTTGACTGCCTGTTTGGTCAATTCCAGACTGGTGAAAATATACAATTTCTTCATCTTTGGCTTTAGCGGTGGTGTGTACATTTGAATAATAGTAGTATTAACTCAGGGAGCTCTGGTAGCATAGTGTCTAAGGCACTTGACTGCTAACCAGAAGGCTGGCGGTACAAACCCACCAGCCACTCCTCAGAAGGAAGATGAGGCAATCTACTTCCGTAGTGATACTGCCTCGGAAACCCAAGGAGGGGTCTCTATGAGTCGGGGACAACTTGACGGCACATAACAACAACAACAACAGTATTAACTCATTGTTCTTGTAGGTATATGGACATTATCCTATCACTGACAGCACTACACTTCAGAATAGATTTTGAAGTGTTTTTTTTGATGATGAATGTGACACCATTCCTCTTCAAATTGTCACTCTTGCCATGGTAGACCATATGATTATCTGATTCAAAATGGCCAATATCAGTTCATTTCAGCTCACTAATGCCTAGGATGTTGATCTTTATGCTTTCCTTTTCATTTTTGAAACTTCTAATTTTCCCAGATTTGTACATCATACATTCCATGCTCTGATTATTAATGGATGTTTGAAACTATTTTTTCTCATTTTGAATCATGTATATAAGCAAATGAAGGTCTAGAAAACTTTACTCCATTCACATTATTAAGATCAACTCTATTTTGAGAAGGCAACTCTTTCTCAGTCATATTTTGAATGTGTTCCAACATGAGGAGATCATCTTCTAGCATTATGTATCACACTATATATCACAGAATGTTTCATGGTTATTCATGTTCTGCAATAACATAACGAACAATGTTTCACAGCTATTCATAAGGTTCTCGTTGGTAAATTTTTTTTTTTTCAGAAATGGATGGCTCTGTCCTTCTTTCTAGTCTTTCTTAATCTGGAAGCTCTGCTGAAACTGTCCACCATGGGTGGCTTTCTTGGTATTTGAAACATTGGTGGCATAGCTTCCAGCATCACAGCAACAAGCAATCACCATAGTCCAACAAACTGACAGATAAATGGTGGTCTTCACATTAGTGACTCTCAAATATAATAGGAATAGTGGGTTGGTGGTGACTTAGGAAGGGTGATGGGCATAAGCATATATGCCATATAAGATTTGTCTATGATGAATGGAAATTTGGGGCGCTGTGTGCTTGAAGACTACCTTTATGCAGAAATATACTTGGTAAATATAATTTGTCTAACTTTAGGACTTTTTAGCCAAAACCCAAGCAATGAATATATGGAAAGAGAAAAATATTTACTATATTAGCTAGTAAATATTAACCCCTACTATGTGTGATGGCAAGGAACCTTGGTGGTGCAGTGGTAAAGAGCTCAGTTGCTAACCAAAAGGTCAGCAGTTCAAAGCCACTATTGGTTCTGCAGGAGAAAAGACATGGCAATCTACTTGCATTAAGATTGTTGTTGTTGTTGTGGTTGTTATGTGCCGTCGAGTCAGCCCTGACTCATAGCGACCCCTCCTTGGGTTTCCGAGGCAGTATCACTACGGAAGTAGGTTGCCCAACCTTCCTTCCGAGGAGTGGCTGGTGGGTTTGAACCGCCAGCCTTCTGGTTAGCAGTCAAGTGCCTTAGCCACTATGCTACCAGAGCCTATAGGGCAGTTCTACTGTGTCACTATGAGTCACCCAGTGACTTGATGGCACACAACAACATGTGATGGCATTGTACAAAGCATCATTCACTTCTGATTACATACAGCATTTGGAAATGGAAATACTCTTAAAATTCCTCCAAACTCTAAAGATTCTCATCAATTAAGCAGTCAACACTGCTGAACAACATGAATTACATAAATGCTATTAAGAAAAGTATTTGAGATTCACATTTGGGAAAATAAAGTGGTGAGTTTACAACTTCCACATTTTACAGTTGGTGATTGTAAGATTTACCTTTAAATTGGCATCTACGAAAAATTAAACAACAGTCCATTTCATTTTCTCTTGAATGAATATACAGAATGAAAAAGTCGTGAGAGATGTGAAAATGAAAAAGCTAAATGCAGTAATTCATTTTAATGAATTCAATATTGATCACTTCAAGAGCCATAAAGTATTATGTTTTCATGTGAGTTTTTGAATACTAAATTGCAAATCAATTTTTCTGAAAGGTGGAAAGGAAAGCAGGAAATACAGCTGGACAAAATCTTACCTGAAGTTGCTTTTTGCTCTCTTTTCTTCTCCACTCTCCCTGAAATGAGAAGCAGCAGATTAGTTGCAGCAGGGGGCTGTGAGAATAAGTTGTAAGTAAGACGAAAGCCCAGTTTACAGAAGTTCCCAAACACTAGCACTACTACAGTCATGTCTGACATGCTTCTGGAGATGATTGGACACAGTTGACTGGGATGAAAAATCCTCTCAAACCAACTTATGAAAGTCAAAAATAAATAAGTATGCCTTAAAATGCTGTTGGGTTTTTAAAATCTTGTTAGTAAGAGCCATTTATTCAACAATAACCCTACAAGGTGCAAATCTCCATTGAAATTGCTGTGGAGAGAAACATCTGAATAAAATAAGACCATAGCTTCTTAGAACCAACCCAAGAAGATCGAAAGGACAGACAACAATACAACATGAATGAGATGTGCCTTACAGATAGGACTGGCCAAAGATACAAGAGAGTAAAGAGATTACATAAGAATGGAGAAAGTTGTCCATAAGTTTTGGAACAAGTGGTATTTGATGTGGACTTTGAGGGATACATGGGAAATGGAGGATTTGAAACAGGAAGGACTGAGTTTTGGCAAAGGAAATAGGATGGGCTAAGCAGGACAATATTATTTGAGCAAGAAGAGTCAAATTTGGAACTCGCTTTAGGAACTAGAAGTAGGTAGTCCCTGACTTACAAGAGCATTCTGTTCCAACAACTCTGTCATAAGTTGGTTCTGAAATAAGTCAAATACCCTCTTTCTATTTTTTTTTAGTTATAATATTTCCTGCTATACAGCAGTGTTTTTAATAGTAAATCATAATATTGAGCATCTGTAAATCAACATCTGAGAATGATAACATCAGCAAATTACCCTGTACAACACTGTATGGAGTACATATTATTAGGCATAAGATATGGGGAAAAAATAAATCAGACAATCATAATGTCATAAGTCAGGAAAAGTAACCGTGTAAGAAGAGGACTATCCTAGAAATTAGGCAAGATGTAATGACAGAATGGACCGGGTAATAGTGGGAACTGAGGTGAGGGAAGTGATATTGTGTTTTTCACACAAATAACATGTGTCTTCTACATTTGCTAACTGCACCCACCCATTCCAAGGTATGGCATAATTTTTTTATTATGATTATTTTTTACATAGTCCAGAGATTTACAAAATGTGAGGGGCACAGGAGAAGGAGAGGTCAAGATGAATAGTTACTTAGGTGACTGAGTATGGTAGTGCAATGGTAAAATGTGATGAAGGTATACACAGGTATGACAAGCTTAGTTTTCCACTCACTGAGTTTAAACTGCTTTGGGGACATGGAGCTGGAGAAAGATCAGACTTGAAGTGGCAGACACAGGAAATATCCACCTTCAGAAGATGGCTGAAGCTGAGGGAGTGGATGGGAATATACAGGAAAAGAGTGCAGAGCTGTGGGCTAAGGATAATACTCAAGAAACAAAATCACTACTTTTGTTTTGTGATGTAGGACGATGAAAAGACAGGAAAAAAAAAAAAGCAGAGATTTGGGGAGGTGAATAGAGTGCAAGGTCATGTAACACAAATAAAACTTTAAGAAATATGGGGGACCAACAGCACAAAATGCTGCTGACTTCCTGTGGTTGTTGCTAGACTGTGAGAGAGTAGTTTTAGTGAAGAGGGAGTGAGGAAAAGTGTTTGAGCACCTGAAGAACAGGTGTGTGAGGAGGAAGTTGAAGCTGAAGATATGGCTATGTGCTGATGAAATGTGGCAGTGTACAGATGAGCAAGACAGGGAAATAATTTAAGCAGAGACCAAATCAATATTTCTGCTAAATAGTTCCTGGGTGATGCATATGATTTACACTTGCCTACTAACTTAAAAGGAGCTCTGGTAGCATAGTGCCAAAAGCACTTGACTGCTAACCAGAAGTCTGGTGGTTCAA